TTTTTTGAGGCCTCCCGGGCACAGGTCAAGTCCACACAGGTCCAGTGAAAGGCATCAAGTCCAGGTTCAAAAGGAAAGCAATGAAGCCCATACAGGTCCAGACGTGAGGCACTGAAGCCCACCAGGTCCACAAGTGAAAAAGGCATCATGCCCACCCAGATCCAGAAAGGAATCAGCCCACACAGGTCCAGAAGTGGGAGCAATGAAGCACAGAGGTCCAGAAAGTGAAAGCAATGAAGCCCACACAGGCCCAGAAGTGAAAGGCATTATGCCCACCCAGGTCCAGAAAGGAATCAGCCCACACAGGTCCAGAAGTGGGAGCAATGAGCACAGAGGTCCAGAAAATGAAAGCAATGAAGCCCACACAGGTCCAGTGAAAGGCATCAAGCCCAGGTCCAAAAGGAAACCAATGAAGGTCCAAAAGTGGCCAAAGTAAAAGAATGCCTTTGTGCATTGTGGACAGTGCTTGTCTTTCGCATGGTTTCTTTTTGGGGCTCTTCAAGAAGAATGCTCTTTGCACACCTCACCTTGTGCAGGAATTTGCTTTTTGGAAATGCTTTGGAATGCAAGAATTGCAGCTGACTTTGGCTTGAGGTCTTTTGAAGTTTTGGGCTTTGGTCAACTCGCTTTGTCTCAGCCATGCCGGTGCTGACTTCTGCGTTTGGGGCGCAGAATGTGTGGGTCAGCAACCAAAGAGCTCTTTGGTTCTTGGTTTGGTGCAACCTTTTGGTGTTGCCACAATTCTGTCCAAGAGGGCACCAGTGGAGTTTTGGAGGCAACGAGAAGGGATACCAGCACTTGATGTGCTCAAGCAAGCTTCCAGTGCAAATGAGCGAGGGCGGAGACGAAGAAGAAGAACACCCCACCAAGCGCTGTGGGCACAAGATGTCCTGGAGAGTTCAAGGAACTCTTCCCTACTACCTTCCGGACTGTGTCAGCCCCGCTCAGTATGTCCACTTTCTATATTGGTTCTGCTCTGACTGCCCACGTGGACAGATGCAGAAGGAAGTGGGCTTAAAAACCAAGACGTTTGCGAAGCTCTTGAAGCGCTGTCGCGACATCTTGTGGTTGTCGATCAGCAAAACCATGGGAAGCAGAAACTTGTCAAGCAGGAGTGGCGGGAGAATCTAGTGAAGCAAACTCCAGTGAAGCAGGAGTGGTCCTTGTGTGATCAAGCCTTGTGAAGCCAGAGTGCAGGGAAAACCTTGTGAAACAAGTTTCTGTGAAGCAGGAGTGGTGGAAAGTCTTGAGGCAGAGCCTTGCGGAACAGCGCGGGTGGAGAACTGTGTGAAACAAACCCTTGTGGAGCAGGAGTGGTGGGTAAACAAACCTTTGTGGAGCAGGAGTGGTGGGAAAGCAAACCCTTGTGAGGCAAGAGTGGTGGGGAAGCAAAACCCTTGTGAAGCAGGAGTGGTGGGGAGAGAAATGTGTGAAGCAAGCCCTTGTGAAGCAGGAGTGGTCGGAAAGAAAAAACTTGTGGAACAGGAGTGGTGGGAAGAGAATTGTGTGAAGCAAGCCCTTGTGAAGCAGGAGTGGTCGGAAAGAAAAAAACTTGTGGAACAGGAGTGGTGGGAAGAGAACTGTGTGAAGTTTTTGGAGAGGACAATTTGGAAGATAGAGAAGCGTTGGAAAACAGGTGGGGCAGGCACCACCAGAGCTTAGTTCCCACCACAGGACTTTTCCCACCAGAAGCCTTTTCCTGCCTGAGGGTCGAAAAGTGCAGAGGCAGGGAAACACCCACCAGAGGACATTTCCTGTGAGAGGACATTTCCCACCAGAGGACATTTCCCACCAAAGGGCCAGACCCACTACAGGCCAGTGAGCCACATTTTGGGTATTTTCATGGCGACTTGGTTTGCTGGGACAGCAAGGTGGTGCGATGTGGCTTGTTGTGCTTGGTGTCGCACAGAGTGATGATGGATGGAAATTGTTGCTGTACCGTCTTGGAGATTCTGGAGCCGGTTTCCTGCCCAACGACATGTTGGTCGTCGAGAAGATTCTGCCCGATCAGGTACGGAATCGACTTACACAAGCTCCTCCTCAACCAGCAAAATTTGATTTCCCCTTCTGTGTGGGAGCATCGAATCCCATGATTTGCAAATTTGATGTGTCTCTCGATGCTTGCAAGGCTTTCGGTTTCCGTTCAGGTGATGTGTTCAGGGATGCTCGAGGGGCTCGTTTTGTAGTGCTTGGCGTTAGAAAGACTGGTAAACGCTTTAGCCTGCGGGGGGATCGGCAAGTTGAAACTGACATCGGGGCTGCCCGCCTTCGAGTTCACGCGAAGCTTTTGAAAGAGGATAACGATGTTCATGAGAGCAATGACAACGATCATCAGCATGTGGAATTTGGAGCTTTGGGTCGCTTGCAACCTGACTTTACTTACAAAATGAATGGATGTGACTTTCTGGCAAGATTTGATACGCGAGCCGACATTCTGAGAAGAATCCTTGGAGCTCCAGATGATGTGCGGGTCAAACATGGAGCGATACTAGAAAGCAGAGATGGGCACAGAATTGTTCTGATATATAGGTGCACGCTTCCATGAGCGCTTTTTGCAAGCCTTTGGAGAGGATGAGGGAACAAATGATGGGGCGCGACCTATTATGAAGAGGTTCTTTGAGGTTGTTGGAAACACATCTCCAAATGAAGCAGACACGGAGGCAGTTTTGCTGCATGATGATGGTGCAATAGAGGCATTGAAAACTTTTGATACTGAGGATAAGGAGACCCCAGCTCGGACGACAGCAGAAAAGGCGAAGGAGATGGCCAAACTGATGGCCGATGCAGTTGACAAGAAACATAAGAAACAAACAATCAAAGGAAAACTTTGGTCGGTTGGTGAACCCAACTACGGGTGCAAGGTGAGATCCAGTCCGGCATCACACCAGGGCATCAAGAAATCCATGCGCGTGCGATCCATTTCGTCAGGCAGACTTGGTGTTGTGAAGTCACTCCAAGATGGGTTTTGCAAAGTAGAGTCCCTTGCCGGCTGCAAGACTGAGATATGGGAGGCTCCGGTTGCGGAAGTTCGGCTAGATGCCCGGGCAGACTTGGTTAGACCTGGTGATTTGGTGCATGTGCGACCTGACATTGAAGTGCCTGCCTTCAATTGGGGTTTCTTGAAGGAGCATCGCAGCGTCGGAGTTGTAGAGAAAGTTTCACGAGCCGTTGTCGATGTGAACTTTGGTCACTCGAAATGCCGGCATGGCGCTTTGGAGGAGTTTCAGGTTCTGCAGCCTAGGCTGCAGGATTTGGTTGTAGGAGCACACGTTCGTTTGAAAAAGTCCTTGAAAGACTTCCACTACGGTTGCGGGCTGGTGCGTCAGCATTCTGTGGGCATCATCAAAAAAGTTGAGGGTGACTACAAAGCATCCAGTTGGACAAATCATTTGGCTTGTCCATCCGGCGCATCCGGAATCTATCTTTACACAACCTCGTCACTCATCATTTCAGGGGCTGTAGGTCTTTCGCCAGAAAACTTGGTTTGGACCTTTGGAATTTGCTTCTGATAGCTCACCATTCTTCTTTTTCTTCTCTCCTTCTGCTTCTTTGTTCGCTTTGTCATTTTACCGTAACATTCGCCTCTGGGCTTGGACAGGTGCAGACGAAGACAGACACGATTCGGCCAGGGACTAGAGTTCAAGTCCGTCCAGAAGTCTTTCAACCATTTTTTGAGTGGGGTAACGTCAGGCCCACTTCAGTTGGTGTGGTGGAGAGCATCACGCCTGATGGCATTGCTTTTGTTGATTTCCCTGAGTTGGAGCAGGCAGACTGGAAAGGCCTTCTTTCTGAGTTGGAGCTGTGCGAAGCTCACTCAGAGAAACTTGAGCAGAAGCGCTTGGCCCTACTCATGGGGTCAAACAACGCAGATCTCCAGAGCATGTCCCGTTGGCTGAAGGCCAATGCTTTCGATGCTCTTAGGCTCCCACGCCTTGAACACATGCCAAGTTACATGGATATCTTGAGAGATCAGGCCCAGCAGGACTCAGTGTTGTTTTTCTTCTGGTCTGGTCAGCTTGACCAGCTAAAAGTGGAAGCTACAAGCCGCACACTCCAGTCCATGCTCAACCAAGATGCAAGCTGGACAGCTGGCGATTTGCTTGTAGTCGTGATTGTCCAGGGTGTTGACACAGCAGCGCTGCCCTAGATCTGCCGAAGGAACATGTTTTTTCCTGGCATGGCCAGCAGAGGGGCAGGTACTTTGTCCAGTACAGCTGGAACAAAGTGGTGAAGATTTCAAATCTTTTTTGGCCAGACTAAACAGAGAATCGGTGTCCAGCACCTGTTGCGTACGCCAGAACTATTTTCCTGAGCCGGCTGAGAAGGATCTTCCAGAGGAGGGTTTCTTCTGGCAAAATGCTGTCTCCGAGCAAAGTATAGCACAGAATGAGAAATGTGATAACAGCATGTACATGTACAATGATGCATTTGTGCCAAAAGGACCGCAACGCTCACATTGCAACAACGACAGCCCAATCAAGGGCTGTGATCAAGAGGTTCATGACGGCAATGCTGGAGAAAAGCCAGACTGTCCTTTGTCATAATGCAGGCCAGATTGTTTCAAACGTGCTGATAATCTTTTGTAAGCTTGGTCATTGTGAACGCACGAATGGATGTGTATATATATATATAGGGGCGATACATAATTTGCAACTCTTTGCTTCTGCCCAGGCTTTGGGAACCTTCGTTGATTATGGATTGCTTGGCGGCGAGCTGGGCTTGCAGGCGAGGCTGCGTGTATTCTTTCGGTGGAGCCGACTGCTTGCTCGCAGAGAGCCCCACTGTGCATCTGAGATCGTTGGATTGCGGCAAGAAAAGGCCAATGATTTTGTTGCAGGCCAGTCGCTGATTTGGCACGAAGCTGGTTTCAGAAGTTGCTTTTGTGTAGCTCAAACAGGACTACATCGTGCGCGCAACGCCCAGGCAGGTCTAGGTGCGAGCTAGCTGAGGAGCAATGATGTGAGGATGAAGAGTTGCTGGCTAGGGGTTGGATCTTGGCATTTTGGGTGGTGCTAACATTGTTGTTGGGAGGGCCTTTCTCATCAGTCGATCTAGACCCATGGACAGCATCCTCTTGCATCTTCAGGATATATATATATATAGTTGGAATCCTGTCATCCAGAATCATCGTTCAGTGGATATGCTGGCATTCGCAGGCTTTCTCTGTAGTTTGAGGGGTTCTCGAAGAACTGCTAATCCCACCGTCGATCTGAGTCTGGGACCTCAACACATGGGACATTAAAAGTCTTATGCAAATGGCGGCAATTTCTTGGCCCAATTCAAGCTAAGAAACCACAAGGTCCTCTAGTTGAGAATTCTATAGTATTCGATCAGGGCTTTTCGCAATCCCATTGGCCTTGGAACGGCCTTCGAACGACCAGTCTCTGCCGCCGCGCCGCCCTGGCAACGCAGCGTTGGGGCTCGGTGATCGGGAGATGCCGCGCCACCATGGCGGATGAGATGCTTGGCGGAAAGATGCGGTAGTTACAGCAGTTTTTCTGGTTTTGACAATGAGAAGGGGAGGAGTTGGGGCCAACTGCTGATGGTAAAATAGGGTGCTTGGAGTTCAGGAATATTCTTTACTTCAGTGGTGCCTTCTAGGAGGAGTACCATCTCTTTCTGGGTGGTTTTATATCTACGACCAGCACCTCCCAAACACGGTGGCGTACCACGCTGAGTCGTTGGGGGTTGTTTCGACCCTTAGATGATATGCGGACATACCCCCAGAGTCGATGTATATTTGTGGATTCACGTGCCACGTGCCCGGCCCCCGGAGGCTTTCGTTTGTTGGAAAAGGGGGATTGGCATGGCGAAAGTCATTTGCGCTTTGGAGTCTCGATGACCTGTTCCTGCTTGGAGTCAAAGAATTCATTTCACCTGTTCCGTGCTAAACGGGGGGGATGTCCGGACCCGCTTTGCCAACTACAGCAGATCCTGCACCATGCATGACCAGATTTGCCAAAATGGCCTTCCATTGCCACTACCCCTACAACTCCCACAATCAACCGTAAACTATACTACTCTACACTACTGGAAAGGGGTTTCTTATATCTTCTCATTGCTTCTAGTTCTACCAGTGCATTGGCAACTTTCACCACACCAACCTTGGTGTGAAAGCACCACGCGCCGCTGACCGCGTAGGCCCACCTCCCAAAGCACCACATGTTCGGACCCAGGCAGGAGAGGGGGAACGGAGGGGTGGGCATGGGATGGGTTGGGGATGGTGTGGGGTGGATGGTTGGGATGGGTGAAGATCGAGTGGAATGGGATGTGTCTTTTCTTTGCCAAGGTTTGTGGACTTGAAGCGTTGTTTGCAAGTTAGGGCCGGCACTCGGACGCTGGACTTCTGGACTTCTTTCATGGAGTGCCCACGAAATGACCGTTTATATATTTTCAGCGCCACTTGCTGCAAATCATCTCATTTGATCACCTCCTTAGTTTCTCCTCGTGCATCTTGTCCATCGCCCGATATCCATTCGAATCGAACGATGGCTGCGGCTCCGGGTGAACTCCCAACCTCGATCGGTTGGTCGTGTCAAGGCCCCTCGGTACGTCGCCGGTGGTGGATGTTCTGTCTTATTTTGGGGTCAGAGGCGGTCAGAAAGAAAGGATCGGGTGATGGTAGATTAAAAGTTTTTGCGAGAAACTCGCTGTCGCAGTTCCTTGAAGAGCCTTTCGTGATCAAGAGAAGCGTCCATCAGGTTGTTATCAGGCAGTTAGTGCGTGTACAATACAGATTACATAATACAGTACATTTTTTGTTTTGACAGCATGCATGCCCGACGCCAGACATCATCGACATCTCCATCTCGCTGGTGTCAGGCACGAAACAAGTCATGTTTATGTGGCTTTGTGTTTCTTTCCCCCCGAAGAGAAGGATGGCGGAGGAGCGGGACAGCGAGAATCTGACTAATCTCATGGACACATGGATATGCGGTCAGAGATCAACGCTCGAGTCAGTTGCTAGATCCAGTCCTGGCATCAACGATCCCTATGTTTGACGACAAGACCATGCGATGCTGGATTGTTTCCTCGTGCCTGCGGCCATTTTGTTGCGGGTGTTGTGTCAGCAGATGTTCTGTGCTAGCTGTGTGTGTGTGTGCGCTACGAAGCCTCTATATAGTCGAAGCCTCCCAATCGTTTTCGAACGGATCATAGGTGCAGTGAAGTCACGCCAATGACATGTGAGAGTCGTGAGGATCCGCGAGTCTGGAAGATGTCGGGCGGGTCTTACATCGGTTTCCATGCTTGGGGAACGTTAACTTGGTCTTTTACAACTCAAGTTAAGGGCAAGGCCTGTGGTGAAAGTAGCCATTTGTTCGCCAAGGCTTTTGGTGGTTCTCCCAGGCAGCATGCCACAAGCAAGAAGCTACTAGTACCTCCTGGCCTTACTACTGGGAACAAGAAGCTACTAGGAAAGAAGGGCATCGCTACTAGGAGCAAGGACACTACAAGTAGCCCTTGTTGTTTTCTGCCCATCTTGCCAGGCCGCTCAGTGATTCTGAAGGTGCCCAGCCATGAAAAGGCATGCGGCAGGGCAGATGCGGTTTTTCCGGTTTCTCGTTTGTTAGAGATCTCCTGACATCAGTTCTTGGGATGCCTTCATAGCAGCGTAAACAAGCGTGATGGCGTGAGGGACCTCCAACCTCTTGATGACGGGAACATTTTTCCTGTTCAAGACTCTGGAAATGCCCGGAGCCAACCGTCTTGTGAGACATGCAGAAACGCAACATGTGGAACATCCTCCAGTCGAATCTTTGAGAAGCAGTTTTCTCTTTAAATTCAGCCTCCAGGGCCACCAAGGACGGAGAGTCCAAGTGAAAAAACTCCTTCTTTCGCCCTGGTGCATCTCACCAGACCCCTTGACCAAAGGGTCCCCTGTCTTAAAGCAGAGGAGCGTGCAATGGGGACGCCCGTCGCGTCCATCCGCGCGTCCCGCCCCCCGTCGGAAGAAACCAGGCGAAGCGCGTCAAGCAGCTCGCAGCGGAGGAGTTTGGCCACTGGGCAGTGGAAAAGATCATATCGGCCCCATGTGCTTCTTTTGAAAGGATTTCTGAAGGACCAGAGTCACTGTGATTGTCAGCGTGAGTGACCGCAGTTGTAACCCAGTGATTTGGGTGTGGGTGTTCATCACTCCCTGTACACTGTACTCCGAGGGGTCGCTGAAGAGCGAAACACAACGAAGCGGGACCACGCCGGCTCAGCTCAGCGGCTCAGTGGCCGAGGCCTGGTTGGGGAGGAGATGGATTTGGTCCTCGACGTGGGGCGGCCCAGCGCTTGGCCTGTGCGCGCACGAAAAGAGCGCGTGCGGGGGTCAGCGGTTCGTGACTTTCTTTTTTCTTGTGGTGATTGTTCTTCAAGTGTATTGGATGGGGGTTGCTGGTGAATGCCAGTGAATCTTGCCGGCAGCCTGACCATGAGTAGACTGTTGATGAATAAAACCACCCTCTGGGTCCTGCCCACCATTCTCGAGCTGTAAATCAAAATAACACCCATGACTGGACCCCCGGGCAGAATGGATTTGGGCATACCAACCTCTGCCGCCAGACCTGGGACTTTCGTCCATCCAAAAACGCCCAGGACACGACGGTGGAGGAGGATGTGAAGGCCCACGAGCTAAGCGAGGCACAGTGGCCTGACAGGATGTGGTGGTACTTGGTTTGGGATAGATTTGACACCTCATGCCTACTGGATCCTGGATACCTCCCAAATCCATACCTGAGGTTCAGAGAAGAAAGTCCAAATCCGCCCCAGAGGCGGAACTTCAACCGGTTGGGGGGTGCGCCAAATGGATGTGCAGACTAGGAATTCTCGGTGCAGTATATCTTCGAATGATGCGCAACATCATTTTTTTGTCTATTTTTCTGCACGCTTTGGACCTCCAAAAAGCCTAAATCTCTCTGGCAGGCGATCCTTTGCCAGGTCTAGCTGGTGTCAGCTGTGACATGCTTGTGTCACACCGGATGGGATGAACCGAGGTCTCCGTCCCGGAACAGGCAGTCTTGCAGGCTTCTTGTTGGCATGGGGGTCAGGAAGAAACCACCACCAAGCAGCCTGATAGATGAACATCCCTTAATTGACTCCTTTCAGTTTATTCTCTTTTTCCTGCTTCAAAGGCAAACATCTGCAGGCTGCAGCGGTTTTCCGTGCCTGCCCTACCCCCACCCACCCTCGCGCCTACCCTCGCACTGTCCGACGCTTGGCAGGCCTTACTGAAGCTGGTGGTGCTGACGCCGGGCTTGATCGCTTTGGTCAACGTGCACCGATCCCCGGTGTGGAACCGATCCAGCGCCGGGTCGTGGAATCTTTCAACCTGGGCGTGGGAGGGCTGGTCGGTGCGGGCGGTTTGGAGGTCTTTTCCTTGGTGTGCTTTGAGCTTTGCCAGAAGCACCTTGGAAGATGGGAGCCCCTTTTCCTGATCCTGCTTTAAACTCCTTGGCTTGCCAGGGCACCAAGGCTCCAGAAAACCGGTCTTCCTGGAGTCTTGTTCGATTTTCTAGACAAGTAGCACATGAAGCTCCGCAAAATATGATGCAATGCAGGAAAACACAGAATTTGATATGCAAGTTGTATTTAAATCAGAGAGGAACACGTCCAGAGGAAAGGTCCACTTTCTTCCTTCAAAAAGCGCGTTTGAGCTGGAGTCACAGGAACATGTAACTTGTCAAGATGAGAATGGCGACGGATTTGTGCTTTATCCAAACCGTAGTGGTCCCGCTCCCTCCCTCAATGTACGAAGCAGACGAAGCTCCTCAGCTGCGACAGCTGAGGAGTGGAGGTGGTGAGTGGGAGCACTCTGAAGCCATGGACACTCCTGGATTATAGCCAGACGACTCGCAGGTGTGCGAACACCACCGACACCATGTGATTGTGATGCAAGGCCTCAACCAAGCTGGATTTCAGATGCTTTGAGACAGATCCCAGTCCAGAACTGCCAACCTGTTGGGGGTGTCCTCTACTCTGAAAAGGAAGAACACCAACCAAGTTCAGAGACGAGGCATTGAGAGGTTTAGCGTGTGGATTTCTTTCAACGGCGGGCCTCGACCGGCTTCCAAGAACTCCACCGGCTTTCCATGTTATGCTTCCGTGTACTGTTAGAAGTCAATGAACTCGTTTTTACTGGAGTTGGTCATACAAAAACACTACTTAATGAGGTAAAAAACCAGGTTTTACAGGGGCATTTGGACTTGACGGGGTAGGTTTGACCTGTATGTCTGTCCCACTTCTGGTCCTGGAGGTGCCGATGTCCCCCCAAAACCGATCCATCCAATTGTCTCGCAGGTCGCCGTATCATGTGCGGTGGAATCCCGCCGGGAGCCATGTCGCCTTCAGTGGGAGCCCGTGGAGTTGGAGACCAACCTGGAACCATGTCGAAGTGGACAACGAAAACCCCCCAGTCTCTGCCACCGCCCAGTTCTTCAGCACAAGTTATATACCAGGACCTTCGAAGTGACCGTCCTTGAGATCCCTGAGGTCACTTAGAGACTTCAAAGAGGTCACGAACTGAAGGTCCTGGAAGTTGATGGTTAACCCGTCAAACCACCAAGTCTGGATCCTTCTGAACGCGCTGAACATGCTTGAACCATGCCACGTGTTGGAGAGACCGTCGTTTCCTTTCTGTGCCGCTGGACGTGCGACACCTCTCCAATGCGGGCATGCAAAAGCAGCAAACCGAAAGCAGGGCAGATGGTATGTTTGGATGTATACTGTACATATATACACATAGAAAACATGCAGTCCGCAAGCAATTATCCCTATTCTAGAAATGCCGGCCTGCAACTGAACCATCATCATCCAACGGGCCCTGGGTGTCTGGGATAGAACCAATATCTCATGTGTATAGGATCTTATCTTTCGTGAACGTTTTCGTGTGACCCAGAACTCCACAGTATGGTGGAATTCTTACAGAACATCCATCGACACCAGAAGTGGATCGCTTCGGTCCAGGTCCTCAACCACGGTCGCTTTCGCTTCGATCGCTTTTCTCAACAGAACCTTTTGCCTCGGTTGGAGGTGTATGAAGATTGGGAGGACTTGTTGTTTTTCGTTTCGAGTTGAGTGCTCCCTCGAAACCAAGAGTTGAAGTTGAGTTTCAATGGTGATGACCAGCGGCATTGTAAAACACCATCCAAGTCAACCATATGCCAGATGTGCAGCAAAATTCACCTCGAACCCCTCGTACCACACCCATCTACTGCCCCCCAAATATCCCAATCCTCCAAACTATTGATCTGACTGAACTTCGCGAACAAAAAGCCTGAAAAACACTGGGCAAACTTCGCGTTCATCGGCTGAGGCGATGCCTTCGCAACTGGCAATTCAGGGTCGCCACTTGATTTGGATCCACGACTTCAATTCCGGCGACCTGGCAAGACCAACAACTGGCGTGTGATCCGACGGTAGAGCGCGGGAGATCGGAGGTTTGCGCGAGAGAGAAAGGGGGCGCCGTTGGGAGAAAGAAATCCAAGTGGGGGAGTAGACCTGAAGGGATAACATGGCCAGACTCTCAAGGAGCTTGCAAGAATATTCACCGTGTCGGTCCCCTTCCCTACAGGTCCAAAGAGCAAGTGAAGCCTGGCCCTTTACCTAGTTGAGTAGTGTTTTTGTCGGACCAACTCCAGTAAAATTATAAGATGAGGTCTTTGACCTTTAGGGCTTTCTTTCTTTGCCCAAAAAGATGTACATCACCGCCTCACCACCGAAATCCATCAGAATGACGCGAGGTGAAGAGCGCTGGAGCCGTCGCTTCCTTCGGGGAGGTTGGCGGGTTGGGTGGAAATGGAGGGGAACGTGGGTGGTGTGGTTTTTGGAGGCAAATTCTTGGTAGATTCTCGATGATACAAAGCACACAGACTGGTAATGCATGGTGACCTTGGTACGTATTAATAACATGAGCTCTGTGACCCACCCCAGGCCGAAGAGCGCCATCTCCCAACACCCACATCTATCTACTCTGCTAAATACTACGTCGATGTCCGCCGTACAAATGCCGCTGATCTTTGGAAAGTTGTCCAATGATGCACGTCTCAGCCATTTGGATGAATCAATCATGTAGAATCTTGATTGATTGATGCTTTTAACCCCCTCCTCCATACAACACCACACCTCACCATCTTGAGGTTGGCCACGCCCAACATCATGCTGGCACCACCTTGTCATTGGGACCCTCAGGCAGGAGTTGTCACCTTCTTCAACAATCAGGTTTGCCGCATTGACACCTTTGAGCACATTCCTTGTCCTTTGGAATGACCACTGGGTGCACTGTGAATGGCAGAAGAATGCATGGACAACCAATATCCATGTCTACAGGCCACCAGCGCTACAACCGCTTGCACAGCAACTTGCGCGCGCCTTGATGAGACAGCCCTCACCACCCACTTTGTGCAAGTAGTGCCACCACAACGTCTGTGTGGCGGGTTTCCTTTGCAGGGCCTGTACATGCGCTTTGGCATCACGCTTGGTTCACCCGACCATGCCTTCCTTGCAATGCTTCGCACCAGCTCCTATGCCGAAAGCAGGGCCAAAGCCTCAACTGGGGCTGCACCATCCACTGGAGCCATCGACCCACTCCTTGTGCACGATCCCTGAAGAGCAGACAGGCACCCTCCAAATGGGAAGACTTTCTACTCAGCTTTGAGCAGCCTTTCCACGATGAGAAAGGAACCCAACTCCAACAGCTGCATCGCCTCAAGGCCAGTGGGCACAATGGCGGGATCGTGCTGACTACCAAACAGTACATCAGTGACCTGTCCAAGCTTAACACCAAGCTTCCGCTTGTCCTGCTCCTGCCTCAGCTTGACGATCAGACGAAAGCCTCTGTCGGCACCCTTTGAAGTGATCTTGCTTGATGAGACCCTGAGCCAGACCTACAAGAGAATCACGTTTGCCATCCCCGTGTTCGGGCGCTTTGATTTCCGGTTGAAGGATCCTGCCTATGAGTTCAAGACCTACGAGATTTCAGAGCGTGTCCTTGAACTTGATAGGAGGCTTGTTGCCAAGGGTGAGTTTGATGCCGCAAAAAAGAGCCGGTTCCTTTCTTTCGTGACACCATCCTCAAGATCCTGCCCAACGGATTTCGTCGCAATAGACATCCATCAGGCACAAAGCAAGATGATAAGCTGCAGATTGTCATCAAGCTCGCACAACTTTGCTCAACTCCGTGCTCATCAGGGACTATCCCGACCGCGGGCAAACATTGACTGACTTGACCGTGATCCTTCGTTTTTGGGACTCACCTCCAAGTCCCTCCGCGAGCTTCTCATCTCTGCTGATCAAGTTACTGGAGTTCCGGGAGCCATTCTGATGCGCCGAGGACTGGCCATCAGGGCCTGGGCCAACCAAATCAGCGAGGCTCGTGCGAAGCTGGGCCTGCGGCCTCGCATCACTGATGCAAATCGCAGTGTGGTGCCTAGAATCATGTTCGACTCTTCAGGATGGTCTGCTGGCGCCTCTCCTGCGGACATCGTTGGTGCCATTGCCAAAGCTGTGGGCCTGCCACCCATTCCCACTCGTACATTTCGCACTGGAGGCGTCCATGTTTGGCATCGGTTTCGAATCTGAACCAAAGGTCGATTCCTTTACAGTCAAGACCAATGACCAGGTCTATCAGATCCTCCTTGCGCCAAGCAACCCTGCTGGAGAAGGGGACTGGGAAGGGTCTCGCAAAGCCAATGCAAAAGGGCATCAAAAGGAGAAGCCTGGTGCCTCCCAAGACTCCACCGGCTCTACAAAGTCTTGTGGTCTACAAAACGTCTTCAGGCGACTTGGCATCAAGTGTCACTGAACCTTCGTGTCCTCGTTTGCAATGTCTATTGCAAAACTGGAGCGACTGCCGACAAACTTATCCAGATGTCCAATGACAAACTCTTGGCCTCTTGGCCGATGTTTTTTCGTCGCCAGTCAGTTTGGGAACATACCAGTGATCATTGGGGCGATTTCCAACTTCCACCCCTTCAGTATGAGCCGGTCGCTTTTGCCACCGCCCACTGTCAATGGATGGATTGTTTGAACCAGGTCTCCGATGATGAACCCTTCCGCCCCATCACCTGCTCGGCCAATGGTACGTTCACGGGCCCGGTGATGGGTGATGGTATTTTGGCAAACTCCGTTGCCTCTGCCGCTCTTTTGAGCGCAGCGAAGTGATGTGCCCATTATTGAGGAAGCCTGGCAACAAGCCAATTGCAACGCCGTGAACTTCTTACTCCATCAAGGAGCCAAGTGGGGTCCTGGCCCTCAGGAACGCCGGCAACCGGTCCGGTCCCGTCCCAAGCGCATTTGCCCAGGTCAGCTCAAGACAGGAGTTGCCACCACGCTTGTGTCCTTGTGGCTTCGCCATGCACTCCAAGGGTTTTTTTTGAAATTTGGCGCACAGAGGAAATGCAAGTGATGTCGTTCGTTTGTCTCCGCAGGACAGGTCGTGAAGTCAGGCCCCGTATGCCACTTAACTGGGAAGCTTTCGGACAGCGCGTTGGACAACGGGCGGCGATTGCCAAATCTCATACGCTGAACTCGCTGTACTCTTTGTCCCTCACGGCCATCAGTGTGTGGAGTCCGGAGATGAACACCATACATTGAAGGCTGTGATTAAGTGGGTGCAAGCTTGTTGTGCCTTCAGCCGCAAGATGCTGCCTTTTTCCTGTGTGCTGGGGAACCACGTTCCCAAAGTGCACAATGCATGGGGCAAGACAATGCCCCCACAAATCATCCGAGGTGGATCGCAATGAAAAGCAGGAAGGTCTATCAATCAATATTTTTACATTGTTGATTCATGCAAGATGATCCAAGGTGGCTGAGACGTGCATCAGTGGACAACATTCCAAAGATCAGCGGCATTTCTACGGCGATCGGTCCAGCGGTGAGTGGTGTAGTCGACCTGCGCCCCTCATCTACCTGCTGCAAGCCGATCCCCCCAGAGAACCCTTGTTTCCCTCATCATATGGCCGTGGCTCGCGTCTCCTTTGTAAAGAATGACCAGCCGCCGAAATCCGAACAACCAGAAACAAATGGCAATTGAGATCCCTTACAAGACAAGTGGCTGTTTGTGGAAACATCCGTTTGTTTCCGGTTTTTTGTGCACCTGCTGACCCCACACCCATCCATGAAGCTCACGTCTCTGACAGGATCTGAACAAGTGAGTTTTCAATGGAGCACAGATGGGAAGAAATTGATTCTGGTGGACTTTCGGGATGTCATCGTTTGTGTGCCTCGGTCTGGACTTCAACTTTTGGAGTGGGAGGGCGTTGGGGGGGAGGATCCCGAAAAAACTGGACTTCCCGACCTACTAGTCAAAAAACAAGACCATCGAATTTGCTTGAGTAGTTTCGCGCGAGCGGGGGCGATCTGTGTCAATGTGAGTGACATGTATTTCCAACATTTGTACCTCACAAAGTCTCAGTTACCACTGTAATAGTTATAAAAGGAACCAGGTTTGAGTTGGAACCACAACCGGATGTCCAGCGACATCGAGGATTTTTGCATAGATGCGCCTCTCGAATCTTCTTGCTACATCATACGCCGATGGAAAGCCACGATGGATGATGTTTGTGTCAAAAACGATCCGGCTTTCAAGAGGACATGGTCTTATTTTCCTTATTAAAAATACACACCACAGTAACCCAAAGTACGGTGGTTTCGAACAAATATACCTATTGTGCCAATCAGGAGTTGAAGCTGATTAAGGTCAGTTACAATTGATTTGGCCCCAAAGGGAGTGTTTTGCACCAGATTTGAGCTGGTTTACTATAACAAGGCCCTCCCATTCCACCGTGCCACAGCTTCCACATCAGCTCAGCCGAGGACATGGAGCAAGAGACTGAAATTGTCTTGAGACAACCAGCTGACGCTTGATGTGTGACACCAAAACTAAAATACGCCTGACGGGGGTTTGATCTGGCACTGAGTTCTTTGCTTAACATGCAGGCAACTTCGAGTTCACTCGGCTTCAAATTTCTTGCTTGTGGTGACTGAGCTTGTGAGAATTTGCTTGAAATACAGGGGATACCTTCGGATTTTCTTCGGTCTTATGATCAAAAAAACACCCCAGCAGATTGCGAACAGCTCTTTTGCCAAGTGTGTTAACAAGTTGTTCAATGCTCCTGGAGAGCATCAACAGGGAAAAAGAGGGTAGGTCTGACGTTGTTTCTTAGTTTTTTCAAACTTAAAATGAGCACTCTCCCTCCCAAGCTAAGAACAGTGGTCCCAGTGGTCCCCGTACATTGAATTGATCGCACAGATGAAGCAAAACACCGTAAATGGACTACCGCTCCGTAATCACCAGCGCGGATTGCCGCAGATGCACTGTCTTCTTTTGTTCGCTATGCGCCGGAAAGGGACGCTGAAAAGATATTACTCAAAGGAAGGATCAGCATTCATTGTCATCGAAAGGCACACAACCATGAGAAGGATGTAGAATGCTTCATTCTTCTTTAGAATGGATGATTTGTCTATGTAACATATCCAAGAAACCGTTTCGGACAGTGGGCCTCCTCAAATATTTAGATAGTTGCGATGCGCCTTTGTAACGTACATTGTTTAGGCAGGTTCTCCAAAATGTATTGAGTCGAGAGCAAATACTCCAAACACTATATGATAAGTTGACACCTTCTCTCACTTGTCCATCTTCTTCATTTTTGAGAGTCCTTCCCCTTCGGCCGATATTTGGGCGGATTGGAGTTCTCAGAAATACTTTCTGAACTGGAGTTCTCTCCACATTCCATCCGAGAGGTGAACCAATGCGGCCACTTCGCCCAAACGGCCACTCTCCTAGTCCGACCGGACGGTTGGATGCTCCATCGCCCAGGATGTGATGTGCGCCTCACTGAACCCGGAGACTTGGTGAACACTCAGGCTCCGCGTGCGACCCGAACAGATGAATCGATGATCCTCCCCTTGACCCCTCCCGCCGGTGGTGGAAGACGCGTCAGAGAGGGGTGGCTTTGAGAGGTTCTCCGTATGTGAGAGTGGAGCAAGAAAAATCTCGTGTTGAGTGAATGATGGTGAATGCCAGGCACTCACCCACTTCTCCCTTCACAGTCTTCTTTGGGTGGGAGGGAAAACCATGCCCCTCCACCGCGTTTGTTCCCATTTGAGTCGTTCGATTTGGCATCTGAGCCCATGGCATCTGAGGATGGGTGCCTGCTGGCCATCGGCACGAGACACGAGATCCGCTTTTGGGAGATGGAGCCTGCGACCGCAATGGGATGTGCGACCACCAAAAAGCAAAACGCCGAAAAAACACAATTTTTTCTTGGATCTAGAGATGAACTTGGAAACCCAAAGAACCATCAGAAACAAAGGGATGTTTTCCCCAAGCAACCACTTAGTCATGTAGTGGATCTCAGTGGCCATGTTGGAACAACCATTGGTTTCTGTTTGGGACTCGGTTTGTCCGCTTCCCAGGAGGCCGGCCGCCAGCAGCTCTCCTTCCGAACTGAGCCCATGACGCATCTCCTGTGGCATGCGAGCTGCTTGGCTCCAGGATTGACCGCCTCGCGACACCGGAGAAGGGAGGGGGGCTGTGGCGGGCCTTTCTCCGCGCTGCGTGGCGAGAAGCGAAGTGAAGCGAAGGACGAGACATCGCCGGCCTTGTCCGCAGCCTTTGAGAGCTTCTGTATTTCAATGTCCTAGAGCATTTGCCCTGCAGCATGCAGCATTTTCTATCCTCCCAAGTGGTAATTACAGGATTCTAACGATAGGGATACCTCGTCTACTGTGAGTGATCGAATATCCACGAACGCCGCAACTCGTCTTCTCAAGCTTCATGGAACACTGGGTGGGGGGTCTCGTCACCCTCTTGCAGGCTTCCACATACCTCGCTTGCCCAGCTCACTGTCATCCGAGCGTTCTCGCCCCGTTCGTTTTTGGATTTGCTACAGGTATCCTGGTTTGCGTATCCCTGGTTTCCATCTGTGGTTGTCTCTTTCTTTGGCATTTACCTGCTTTCCGGCCTTGGATTTCTCAGTCTCCGGTCGTGCGCCGGGCTTCGAATAGGTTGAGGGGGTACTTGCATGAGCACTAGGGCTTCGTTAGCTCCGCTTCGTGCTGAGTTGCTCAAAGTTTCTGAGGATCTTGCATCTATAGGAGAGAGAGTCAAGCAGTTGGCCCAGCGATTGAACGAGCTGGAAGGTTCAGCGAACGAGGATTTAGAGTGGGAGGTGATCGAGGAAGGGAACCTGTCCCTTGGGGTGTCAGACCTGGAATTCCCCTACCCAGGCGCAAGTCAGGTCCCGCAGGCACAGCCGATACCCTCCGTGCCTAGGTACCTGTCGGATTTGTGTCAGGAGAGGTTGAAGTCAGTTGCATCCATTTCCCCCCTGGAACGAGCTCAGAGGGCTTTCACTCAGGGACATCTGGCCTGGGTGGCCAGAGTGACCGGGCTGCACTATAGGCCAGCAGACGCGGTGCCTGCGCTCCCGAGCGCTCATTTCGTAGTCATCCGGGGTCTGGGACTTAGTCAAGCTCTTAGGACAACCACCAAGCGTGAAGCCCTCCGTGCCTTGGCAGTTCAGGACGACACAGCTATCATTGAGGATTTCCCATCATTCATTGAGGTGCAAGTGTTCTGCGTGGGCGCGCGCATCTGCGTGCCTCCACTGAAGCGATGCAAAGGTCCAGCCTCCGCCTCGCGGAAGTAGGGGACCCAAATCTCCTAGTGTTCTCAATCCCTTCGGAGGTTTCAAAAACCGGAGGAAATTTGCAGGTTTTCGCTATACCTGTCCTGCAGAGGGACGGTGGATTTTTGGTTGCACTACCAGTGGAGTCATTTTCGAATGAAGCTCTGGAGACAGCAGCACATGCAGACGAGCACGAACTTTTGGGGCCTTCCCACACATGTGTCGCTCAGCTCAGCGAGGAAGATGAGAATGGCCAAGAGGTCATGATAGACCAGGAGATCCTGGTCCTCTTGGTGGATGTGTCGAACCAGGCACTGCAGGCTCTTAGGGAGTATGATCCAGTGACGGACTCACTGGAGACGATTCATCCTTTTGATGATCAGTTTCCCCTAGCACTGCCTACAGCTGCCTCTCTGGTTGCCGCTGCCAAAGCCTGGATGGGAGAAGAAGATCAGGGCAGGCTAAATTTTTACTCGGCTCGAGAAGAGCCGGCAGAAACTCCTGTACGCTCAAAAGCGGCTGCGAAGAAGGCCACCCCCAAGAAGATCACAAATGCAGTCCTGGCGGAGCAGGTAGCATCCCTCTCCTCACAGGTGGAGGCCCTGATGGCATTGCAACGTCAAGCACCTACAGAGCCCGCCAAGGCGGCTGTCACATATGCAGAGCCTGCCGGAGGACAATCGTCTGGCGTCAGCAGACATGCATACCCACAGCTTCCGGCCCTGGGGCAAGGCTTTGCCCACCTAGGTCATCCCAAGGAAGCCACAGCAAAGAAGGTAGCCGCAATGGTGGGGCCACCGCCCAAGACCAGAAAAGCTCCCCCGGCTCAAGGGGCCTTAGCACTACCAGACCCGTTCATACCAGAGGAACCACGAGATCTCTTTCCAGCGCAGATAGAGACTCATCCCATGCTCAGTGCGTTAGCCCAGCAAAGCACGGCTCTGACCACCTTGGTCTCGCACTTGGCGGGTCATGCGTCGGACCCTTTGGTGGATCTGCAAGCAGGAGGCCTGTCGGGAAGTTCTTCTTCTACAAGAGGCGTTGCCAGGAGAGAAAGAATGCAGACAGACCTGGCCTTGCGCCAAAGTCAGTACTGGCTTGCATTCCTGCAGCAGCTGTCCAGGAAGATGAATCCCTCAAAGCCAGTTCCTACAACGGAGGAGGCTGCAAAGGATGCAGGCCTGTCTTTCCTGGCCTACCTGGAGAGACATGGCGCCTACAAGCAGTCTCGGGAGCTGGGGACCATTTTGTGGGTCCTTGGATACATCATAGATGCTGCCATTGCGCAAGACTTCGATGGTGTAAAAGAGCACCTGGCTTTGTTTGCAGCCGCCCTAGACCAAGCTGCTCTGGATCAGAGTTGGACGACAGCGTTCCTGGTGACTCTGGTGGAGGAGCCTCCTCCGGTGCTCTTTGCAGAGAAGGGAACCCCACTGTCAGTTGCCAAGCCATTCACCCCCCTCATGCCTGCCGTGTGGGGGGGGGTCCTTCTAGCCTATCTCAAGGACATCGACATCATGACCAGCAAGAAACAAGAGGGAGGAGGAAGGAAGACCGGTCAACAGACCTCGCAAGAGCAGAAGGAGGGGGAAGCCTCTCCAAAACGCAGACCCCGCTTCCCGAAGAAGCCCAAAGGGGGCAGCCAGACACAGGCGTGAACAATGAGGCTGGCCAGCTGACAGGAGAGGCGCAACCAGCACCTCCTGTCGACAAAGGTCAGGAGAATTCAAAGCATGTTAGACCTGGAGAACACGTCTTCAGCAAGTACAACCATGAAGCAAAATTCAATGCATTGCAACAAGACATGACGCTTACAAAGTGGTGCGCATGCTTGACCTCGGCAGTCTTGAGGACGAGGACTCCTTTTGCTGCCCACTTGGCTCAGACTTTCCACCTGCATCGTACTGACCTCAGTACGGCACTGGCCTTTTTCCCGGTCCCGCTCCCTACAGGTGAGCACTGGGCACGGATGCCCCCAGACCTCTCTCAGAAGAGGCGTAGACAGGTCCACTTGAATCGTGCAGTCCACATCATTGTTTTGGCTTTGAACTACTACCACAATGGTGGCCCATGCAAGCTGGATTTGTTGGGGAGAGCTCCTTCTACTTCGCACCGGAGCCTTTATGCGAGGATCAGGAGCTTGATAAGGTCAGAGGGCCAAGTTGCGATTCCATGTATTGCAAACTCTGGCCGTAGGTTACCTCGATTAGTTGCAAGGTTGTCAGAGCTTTCAGTGGCATTGACGGCTATGGGGCCCTCCTGTAACCCCTATGACCGAAGCTTCGATGGCTTTGAAGTGCTTCCGGATACGGAGGCTGATGAGTTGAAACCATACAGGAACCTGGACTCATCCAGACTGGTTTTAACAGGCAGAGGGGCATGGGATGCCACAGAGTATCTCGAGGACGAGCTAGTACTGGCCTACAGAGAGCCGGCCTCTCTTTTGTTCAGCCATGAACCATGTCCGTCACAGGTCCCAGCAATTTCTGACCATCCTTCGGAAGTGGCAGCGCTGGCGAGACTTTGGGACAATCAAGATTTGTTGTACTTACATGACGGCAAGGATTTTGAGCTGAGCCCACAGTGTTTTACAAGGGTGTTCAACGCCTACAAAAATGCCAAGATGGACAGACAGATCGGAGACCGGAGGTCTAGAAATAGCTGCGAGAGCCGTGTGCGAGGTCCGAGCACTTTTCTCCCCTCTGGGCCTGACTTGTCAGACTGGTATTGCAACCCCAAGACCCACTACATTGCACAGGGGGTCACTGATCGCAAAGATTTTTATCACCAGTTCCATGTCTCTAGAAGTCGCGCTTTTTCGAACACGGTAGGCCCTGCGGTTGAGATCGAAGATGTAAAGAACCTCAAGGCCTATTCAGATTACATCTTGCGCCAGGCAAAAGGGCGCTACCAACGAAGCCTTCACGGAGACCGCCTGGGGATGAAAGGCCTGAGAGCAGCGCAGAGGAAGCCTCAGCAACTTTTTGTGGCCTTCAGATCTGTGCTACAAGGGGATCATGCAGGGGTTGATATAGCCACCAGCGCTCATACAGCACTTTTACAATCTCATGGCCTTCTAGAGGAGAGTTGTCAGCTGCAGAGTTGTAAGCCTCTTTTTGACCTGGAGAACTGTGAAGGACTGTGCATAGACGACTACTTTGCTATGAGCCTGGAGCAAGTAGGCACTCCGTTGCAGGCCTCAAAAGCCAGCCAGAAGATAGGCACAGCACGGGCTGCCTATAGGCAGGCCGAGCTGTTGGGGAGCCCGGAGAAGGACATCCTAAGTGATAAAGCGAAAATCGTAGGTGCGGTCGTGAACTCATCCTCAACCGCTAGGGATCAGGGGTTGGTCACCCTGTCCGCCCCGATCGAAAAACGGATTGCGTTATCAGTGATTAGTTTGCAACTTGCCACACTCACACACACCACCGATGCGTTGCATGTTTGCCTGGTAGGAGGGTGGATCTCTGCAGCCATGTATAGGAGGCCTGTTATGGGGCTCTTCCACAAAGTTTTCAGCTTGGTCGACAGTGCCTCTATTGACCCAAACCATCCGAAGATCATCCGCTTGCCCAGGACCACCGCAAACGAGTTAGTTCTGGCCTCGGTACTAGTCCCACTCATGTGCGCCGAACTTAGTGCAGAGTTCAGCACTCAGGTTTTCTGTAGTGATGCCTCAAGTAATGTGGGAGCGTTTTGTGCAGCCACTGTGCCGCGTGCAGTCTCGAGAGTGCTTTGGAAAGCCTGTAAGTCAAAGGGTGCATACACACGCATGATGTCCCCGGTTGAAGCGGAGATCTTTAAGCTCGGAGGCTCGGAAGAGTTCGACGGGAAGGAAGAGGTAAAGCCGACCTCGATCAGAAGGCCCTTGGCCTATCGGTTTGACTTTATAGAACTTTTCGCAGGAGCCGCAAAGGTCACCCATTCCATGGAAGCAAAAGGCTGGTCAGTAGGGCCCCCCATTGACTTGAGTCACAGCCCCGAATATGATATGACTAGCCATTATCTGATGTCATGGTTAAGCCATTTGATTCAGAGTCATGCCATAAAAAGTTTTGCCTGCGAACCACCGTGTACTACTTTTTGCATCATGCGACGGCCGCAATTGAGGTCAAAAGAAAGACCATATGGCTTCGATCCTAGCCATCCACAAACCCAGACAGGCACCGCGCTTGCCCTTCGTGGTTTGCAGTGCCTTGAGTTGGGATGGAGACATGGGGTCCCAGGGTGGCTTGAAATTACGTATTCATCTAAGATGAAGTTTCTCCCACCTTATAAGACTCTTAGGGCCAAAAGGTGCGTGGACTTTTGTCGAACCGATTCGTGCCGTTTTGGATCCCCTCACTTAAAACCTTTTGCTTTCCTCAGCGTTTGGGCTCCCCTCGACCGTATCCGTCAGAGATGCGTCTGCAAAGGCAGGCATGTAGTGATCGAAGGAAAACTCACGAAGGCTAGTGCCATGTATACTGATGGGCTGGCCGACGCCCTGGCCACTGTCCTTTCAGAGGCCATCAATGCCAGGGCCAGCGCAGATCTCGAGTGGGATCAAGTCCAGACGGCAGGGCTTGAGAATGCTTTAGTGAACCAGGTTGCTCTTGAAGCACCCTGGTCTACCCTGAGGTCCTGGCCTTTTCGTCGCCCGGTCCACATTAATATCCAAGAAGCTGTCTCAGTCCTTAAGGTAGTTGAGCATTTGATTTTGAAGTGGGGACCTCAGAGGGCAGCCATTTTGGTCGACTCCAATGTTGTGAGGTGCGCAGTCTCTAAGGGACGCACTTCCTCGAAAGGTCTGACGCCTGTCATTGCTAAGGTAAATGCCTTGTGCCTAGCAGCGGGCGTGCAGATCTGTTTAACTTTTTGTCCCACTAGACTAAACCCATCAGACGACCCAACCAGAGGAGCCGCTCTGAGAAGCCCCATTCAAGGCTGTGACTTGTTTAGTTTTTCGGAGGGCGAACTTGCGCAGCTCTCAACTTGCGCCGGCCTTAGACGTTGGAGCGCAAATTGGGTCCGCCTGATGCTCAGCTTGCTAGGGCCCGGCCTTGTTTTCTTAAAGGATCGGAGCCGCTTTCGATCGCCCTGTGCCTTGGATTTCAGACCATCGCTTCAAACACACTTCGAGAAAGGTTTTGATCAGACCCTTGGATAATTAGGGGAGGGGCCAGGCACTTTCGATCCTGCTTCTCGGCACACGGTTCTGCGTAACTGTCGGCTGGAATTTGATAGAACCTTGGGTTTCCCTCAAGAAGGTCCTTCTCCACTCCTCTTCATCTCTCTGCTCCTACTCCTCTGTTTGTTTCAGGGCAAGCGAGATGCGCCTCTCTTGTGGATTTCAGGGGCCATTTTGGGGGGGCCGCGATACGCCATGGGAATGCCACTGAAACCACGAAACTCTGGAGATAGAGCGAGAGCTGAGCACAGAGCCCAGAAGTTACCTTTAGCTTCAGGACGACCTGTACTGCAGATCACCGCCAAGCACCGAGAGGAACTTCTGGAGGCCTTCAGAGCCTGGCTGCTGACAAGGGGGTTGGAACCTGGTGACCTTTTTCACAATACCTATCAGACAGTTGAAGAAATCAACATCTTGTTGACAGCGTACGGCCGTGAGCTGTATCGGGCCGGCAGGCCACTCAACCACTTCTCGGAGACCATAAATGCAATAGCATCCTGGAAGCCACAGCTGAGAAGGGCCCTTCAAGGGGCCTGGGACCTGGCCTATAGCTGGGTCAAATCCGAACCATCTACACACCATACAGCTATGTCTCCCCAGGTTCTGATGAGCTGCATCTCAGTCTGCTTGATTTGGGGTTGGGTGCGTCTGGCAGGCTGCCTAGCCCTAACATGGGGAGGTTTACCACGGGCAGGTGAACTCCTACAAGCCCGACGCCAAGACCTGCAGCTGCCGTCGGATCTGGCAGGAAGTGTGCCCTTTGCACTCCTTTCCATAAAGGAGCCGAAAACAAGGCACACAACCGCGAGGCACCAGTGTGCCAAGCTCGACATTCCAGACTTGGTGCAGCTGGCAGAGCTCGCCTTCCAGAAGTTAGCGCCCTCCGAACCTCTTTGGGACATGAGCGCTCAAACGCTCAGGTCTAGATTCAAGAGCCTACTACAAGCCCAACGACTTCCAACAAGTACTTACAGAGGGATGAGAGCACTTGACTTGGGATCGCTCCGCCCAGGCGGAGCAACGCACATATTACAACTGACTGAAAGTGGAGACTTGGTGATGCGCCGCGGGCGCTGGGCAAGCTATAGAGTAATGAGCATTTACATTCAAGAAGTCACCTCTACCTCCTTCCTGTCAGTGTTGGACAAGGACGTGAGAGACAACATCCTTGACCGAGCCCAGTGCTTCTCTTACTTTTTGGAACAGGCAAAGGCTTTTGAATCAGCTAGGATCCCAAGAGATGTATGGCACTTTTTGTTTGGCGCCACCCAGAAGAAAGACGCTTGAACGAGCTGGGGGTGAATGGGAAGAACGGGTGGCTTTGCATTCCAGATGAGCTAAGTTTGCTCTCTGTGTGTGTACAACCGCATGAGCGGGTGGAAAATGGATCACC